CTAATAAAGAAAGGAGATTCATTGAAAAAGAGCAGCAAATCGTATAATCAAGTTAAACAAAGACAGCCGTTCGATCATCACGAAAAGAACAACGTTCCCCGATAATGAGCGGCAGCGGCGAAGAAAAGGGAGGCACGCGCGCAAGGTTTTACGAGCAGCCACCACTCAGCACCCGTCCGCGATAAGGCTGCAGCTGTGAAGAAGCAGAAGAAGAAAGGTGAACCAAAAGCGAACGAGAGAGAGAGAGAGAAAATCCGTTTAAGCGCGAAAGCAGTCGATTTCGTTCTCGTGCTTTCGCTCTCTCTCTCCTTCTCTTTCGCTCACTCGTAGATTGCTTGCAGCGGTTCGCTAAGCCATCAGTAAAGACAATTCATCGCAGAGCAGCTATACATATAGAACGCACGCAAGTACGTGCTATATACATTGATTCCGTCAATTACTGAAGTCAGAGCCAAGGCATCACCCGTTGCACTGATGATACACGCGCGATCGGCGTTCAATTTCAAAGTTCGCTCCCCATCAACTTACCGACACGCGTCAATCAAGAGGAGGTCGTGCTATGGACGCCACGATCCTCGTATATATATACATACATATAGAAACCCTAAAGCCTCCTCCGTCTCTTTTTCGTTGACCTCAGTACATATAGATCCGAGGATCTCTGGCATCGACGTGCACATAATTGACGGCATTACGCTTGGCTGCACGATCACGTCCTGCACTCGATCGAGCTTTGTGCCTCGAAAACACATATTGCTCAAAAGATATCAATGCTTATTCTATGGCTCGAATGAGGGGAGGACGCTATCTGCGTGGATGATTCTGATCTGCTCCAATTAACCAATCCCCATATGCTCAACCGTGCAATGGTTCTTTTTTTCGCGACGTTTCATTATATTAACATTAACAAATACAATTGAACATTACAAATCACACGCATTTTTCTGTGGATATGATAATTGATTATAAAGAAAGGTATCATTACTATCAAATTTATACTGCTACTAGACAAAGGCTAATTATTACTAAAGAATTAATCCATTTGCAATTACCCTGGCAAGAAATAATAGTCTAGAGCACATACGACGATTGACATGTCGTGAAATAACCTAACTTCATTTGAATGCCTAGTTATTCCACTGACTAGATGAAAATTATAGGTAATATGTAATTAGATTTAATTAAATTAATATGTAATTGGTAATATGTAATTAAGATTCAAGCACAAAGATGTCGGAGATTATTAAAAAAAAATTGAAACCCGAATAACTTCTCATATGGGTTAATGAAAATAAAATAGTTTATTTATGAATTTTTCATAATTATTTTCGTATATTTGTTGTCGGTATTTTCATTTAAAGTAATCAATATCGGATTTAACTACAAATGTTTTATTTTTCAGAATTTAGAACATATGTAATATTATAACTCAATCCTCATAAAACATTTAAATAAACAGTACATTTTTTACGGTGAATATAGCTAGAAATGACGTATATTATTATTTAATAGGAATTATTTATTCAATTAACCATATTATACTCTCTCAATCGTATTAAGTCTGACGAAATTAAAAAACAATGAAAGACGAAAGTTACATCCAAATACTATAAACAAAAACTATCTTAACTTAATTTATTTTGACGTTTCGCTGGTTTGTTTTCCAGCTTCATCAGGTCCAACGCAATTGAAGAATTTTTCAAGATTACGTTATCGATCTCTATGAGTCAATAAAAAATCAGAAAGTTTGACTTGTGTAATGTAACATCTCGCTCGTATTTTGTATTGCGTTTTCTGATTGCTATGTGTTATATTGTGACTAGTAACTTGACTATATTGCTTATTTTATAAAACAAAATTTACAATAAATTTTTTGTTGACTCATAGCAGTCGATAATGTAATCTTGAAAAATTCGTTAGTTGCGTTGGACCTAATGAGGCAGGAAGACAAACCAGCGAAACGTTGTCAAAAATAAATTAAGTTGAAATAGTTTTTGTTTATAGTATTTGGGTGTCACTTTCGTCTTTCTTTGCTTTATAATTTCGCAAGATTTAATTATTTATTCAATTCTTTTATAACTGCTTAAAAAACGTATATACAGGCAAAACTTAATGACTCCAACCTCAGAAGTCTGGGCTACAAATTCAACTTATCAAGGTAAATTTGATAGTAAATTGAAAAACATTTTATAATATCGAGATCGTCAAGCTCAATATTTAGTTATTGACAAAAAGGAAGTAACTTTTCTCTGTTATGCAATTTTTTCTAATTCCAATTATAATAAATGTTATCAAAGTATATAAAGAGTATAACACTTCTATCTATTCGCAATGATTCTATAAATACTTTAATTGTTTCTATCATTGTTGATACATATATCAATTGAAGAAGGAATCAATACCGACTCGACTTATTTTTCTTTATCATTTGATAGGTTTTGATGAAATCATGCTTCATTATTGAAAACCTTATCATGTTTGTAAACAGATTTGGAGTAACTTCAAATCATTAAGATAAAAATACACGTAAAAGTATCTCATGAGGCAAAAAATTTCATCGAATTGTCAAGATTTCGAATTTCCAAATTTTGAATTATTGAGGTAATTTTACATTGATCAGTGTATGTTAATATAGGAAATTCACGGGTCTGGAATTCAACTTCGAATCATCGAGATTTTACTTTAACAAAAGCGATTATATCAAGAGAAACATTATTTTTTCCGTGAAAGTTATTGCCGGAATATTTCCAAATTTTCCTTTATTTTTTTATTATTATAATATTAGATAATATTGTATCTTATTAAAACATACTTTTTCTATTTAATATATAGATCTTGATGATAATTATTTGTTAAATTGAACATTATACAAAAAATTTGTTCTTCAGCGGTTTATTTTTGTTACCGCTTTTTCCATCAGAATAAGAAAAATATATTAATATTTTAAAGCTTAAATTTTAGACTCTGTATATCACTTGTAAAAAGAAAAAAATAGATAATATAATAGAGCTAACGAAGGAGTGAGTATTATTATATTAGTGAGTAAAATGAAATTATAACGACATTTCCATCAATCTTTTATTTATTATAAACTAGCAACAGTTTCGATCTTACTGGGATAATTATATCCGATCCTCTTCAGACGAAGAGATGGTAACATGATGGAGGTCAAAAGTGTACCATAAATAAAAGGATTTATGGAAATGTCGTTATAATTTCATTTTACTTACTAAAAGAAAAAATACTCAACAACAACACAACCGGCACGTGTGCGGGTATTTCAATAATAAAGCAGGCATAAGACAGAGCAAAGCAATCATGAGCAAATGAAAGTACACGATATAGTCAAAATAAGACATTTCCCTCTCCGGAATTGGGGCTAGAACAATAAAAAATAAATACCAGCGAGAAAATTGGTAGTCTAATGTCGGCAAAAAAAAGGAAAGAGACAGACGATCGCATAGTAAAAGTACGGAAGATAAAGAAGTGGCAAGAAAGCGAAAAACCAACGAGGAAATGGAGTTCACGAAAATTGTAAAAAAGGGAAAAAAGCCAACGAAGGGTGGGGAGCTCGTAGAAGGATGCGGAACGAGAAAAAAATGAGCAAAACTAGAAGACGTTACCAACAAAAGAGAGAGACGAAAAGCCGCTCGGGTGAGAAGCGAAGATCATAAAAACAAAGTAGAATGTCTAACGATAAAGCCGAGAATCCTATCGAGGGGAGTGCTGACTTACAGCTTCAATGTTATTAAAATGAACGAAATGATAAAGACCTCTGTACAAATGTGTTTTAGCGCGTATGGTCACATCATTATTGTCATACCGCCATTAAATTTTTCCGGTAACTTATTCGATTTTTTTTCAGCCACCTGCACCGACGTGCAATCCTTAAACGATATAACTTTGCGATGTAAAATTTTATTGTTTCATTAGTGTCGTCGTTAATGTTCCGATGATCGGCCGTGCCCACACGAACGCTGGCATTATTGGAATAGCTGACGAGTTGGAGTTTTTTAATTTAGAAAACTCGAGACCACGCTACGAGCAACTGAAATAAAATGAGACCACAAAGCATTTCACATATTAAGAATCGGTAAAATTAATAGACTTAATGAAGTTGCCATGGACTGAAACTGTAGATCGATTATCGTTGATTCACGATTTCGGATTTAAATTATTTTTAATGATTTATTATTGATCGAATACTGAAATGTGTGAGTGAGCATTGCAGTGTTGGACGTGCGTGTCCCTTAGCCTGTGAGGGAAACTCTTACAGTCCAGTGTTCTGCGAATAATATTTGGATTCGACAAGAGTAATTAAAACTAAATCTGCCACGTTACTCCACCGAAATTAACCAGTAAACACTACTGCAGTTATACCACATTACATTATTTCTATATTTTGTTTTCTAAGAAATACTCTAGCTCTACGAGCAAACTATAGTAATAATAATAATAGCAGATTACATTATTGATTAAAACTTCAAGATGAAGTGCACTAGTTTTCCAGGTATAATTAATTCGAGCGTTCATCAGACTAAAATATAACCTAACAAAAAGAAAATTACATACTCACAAAAAAATATCCACGTACTGTCTCCATCAGCGGTGGTCAAAAAAACATGTGCGAAATTAATCTGCAATGAAAACGAAGCAGCACAGTAGCACCTGCGATAACAGACAAAACCGTGTGTGTGGTTGAAAGAGCGATTTTTTTGCCATTACATTTCTGGTCGAAAACCAACGCTAACCAAACAACATACCTAAATCTCCCGTCAACCTCGACATTCGTATTCTATATGACCGAAGAAAGAGAATAAAAAAAAATAGAGAATCAGTGTAGTCGTCGTCGCGTGCGATATACGCTTCACGCTTGAGGCGCGGAGCAAAGAGAGGTGGCAAGGGGGTGGGGACGAGGGAGGTAGCACGGTTGGATGAAGAGAGTGGGGTCGGCGCTATGGACGTTCGCTTCGGCGCGCAGTTCCTCGGTTGTCCTCGAAGCGAGTGCACTACGCTGGTAAGCGGACGCCAGCGCTTTCAACTATCAGATCTATTCGATTATCAATGTTATGCAGTGTCATGTGTACTAAACTCCAAGTGTTGTAGTGTTTGTTTTCTCTCTTTCTTTCCAAAGATTCTCTACACAGTGCTTACTCGGTTATTCCACCGTGTGCTTGCAAATTAGCACTTGATAAGTGATGATAGAAGTACTGGTGAAGCTAATCCGAAGATGAAAAGGAAGAAAATTATCGCGTGAAAGCCTGACGAGCCCTTAAAATTTTACTTGCGGGGAAGCTATTTTTGTTTGTTTTCGTTCTATTGTATCATCTAGTAAGAGACGTAAAATTGTCGAGGGTGTCGATAAAAGAAAAAAAAGGAATGCAGGAGATTGTGATGGGAGTCTGCAGGTGGCGACCGGGTGAGCGGTGATGAGTTCGTTTGGCGATCGGCGAGTTGGCCATGATGCGCCCGTGATAGTACTGCCGGGCAGTACCACTAGGCTCACAACACAGCTATGTCTACTTACTTTTGCCTGCTTTTCTCTTCTCTTCTGATTTATTTTGGTGAGACACATACGTGTTTTCTCTGTTTTCTCCATGCGTCCATTGTACATTGTACTTTATTAGGATTAAGTAATACATATGCGCGTGGCAAAGGTGTGTTAGCGTGTCGACGACCACAACATTATTGTTATGGATTAGATGCAAATTGTAATGTAATGAAGAGTAGAAAGGGCGCACGTGAAAGGATGAAATATAGTCGCGGCGTGTAAAGAGAAACTGAGCTTATATAAACACATCCCTCTCTCTTATTTTCTATATCAGAAGGACTATAGGCGCTGTATGAATAATTCTTATGGTCATTTGCTTGGATAACAACGTCGAATATGCATGTGTTATATTTGCATTTCGGATTGTTTTTTGTTTGTATCTCGCGTTCTTTTTCCAGATCGTCACTTGTTTCATGATTTTGCGTATAGAATATGATACTAGCTTCCAGTTTGACTACTTTTTCTGAGCAACGGAAATAGAATTATTCAAACTTTTCTCTACAATTATATGTAAGTCAACTCAGATCATTCGTAAGCTCGATGCTTTATTATTCGGAAAAAAAAGAATGAGTACAAAAATAATTTTGTTTGTCGTAATCAAGTGCTCGCTTTTCATACTTTACAGCAGAGAGCGATGAAATGAAAAAACACAATACCGCAAAAAACAGCATGATGAAATATCGCTGATGAACGGATAAATTCAACAGTATTAAAAAAAACAGCAGCTGTAGCACACGTAGCTTTCACGCCCGTAGGGAAAATGCCGAGAGTTGGAGCTGACAGGCAAAAAAAAGGGACTTCTATTGAAAGAAAAAGTCTTGTATGTAATTTCATAATAAATCAAAGTGAGCCAGTAGCTTGGATTGTGTTACAAACTTCGAAAGCTTGATTCATTCCAGTTCGAGTTCTATAATTTCATATGCTCAATAATCTAGGCTTTACTTTTATCGTAAAGAGACTCATTGTACCACGGTCATTCGAACAAAAACATAAACTTTTTCTGAATTTTCGTTTTACTCGATTTTGAAGGCAATAATTGACTGTCGATAGCCAACAACGGTTCTGACAAAACCGTACCACTTTCTGTGCTTATTTTTCTGAAGAGATTGACCAACGAATAAGTTAACTGATGTCTAATTCACTCTCATTGTTGCCTCCAATATCAAGTAAAAAAATCCAAAAAATGAAGTAAGGGTAGACGATATGTCAAATATTAAGAAAATGAATTTTTTTAATTATCGTTCCTCGCTTATTTCACCATGTGAAAACTGTTATTTGGAAAATTCAATTGGCAATTCATTTTATAAATGATTCTTTCGAAAAAATCAAATCTCTTTTCGTAATTGAGTGTTGAGTTAACATCATGAAAAAATCGTTCTTCGTTCTTCAAAGAACAACAATGACCGCAATGTAGTATTTCACAGAATAGTATATTTTTAACGGTTTCGTTCGAGCAATGTGATATATATATTTTTTCATTTTACTTCGCGTCGAAACATGACAATTAAAAGCGACCGCACTACTCGCATATCGACCTTCGATGAGGGAAAAAAAACGCGAGGTCGTGTGTAATCTCAGTGACTATTATTTTGATGAATCGCAAGCATTTTTCTCGTTGCATTGCAAAAGCTATGCAAATGTAAACGAGAAATACATACGATGCAATCCCGTATATTATCAGTAACTGGTTTTCGATATTTGTCGACCTGTATATTCACAATTTTCCGTCAGAGTGAGGAATGACTTTCTGTAGAATGAGTGTGTTGACCTAAAGGTCGGCCTATCGTGAAGGTATAAGCGACGGCTTTACTTGCAGCCTGCACTGAAAGAACTGATCTTCCGACTGTTCATCGTGCAAGTATCTTTTATTAGCGGTGTACTCTCCTCACTCCCTTTACCTCTTTTTTTCTCTGTGTTTTCGTTTCTCGCTTTGTGTTTCGTGCTCCGATTGATCTCGACCCTGATGCTTTTCGGAGTGCAGGCTCTTTTTGACTCTGTACCTTGCCAGAATTGATTTTTTTTTTGCTTTCCCTGTTGTACTAGCTATTTTTCAAAGCATTTATCTTTGATTGTAGGTGACTTTAGATTGAGAAAATAGACCTAAGCCATTTTTAACCGCGCGTATCTTTTATATACTGCAAACAAGCGCATCGAGAAATGAATTTGCCGTTAGTAACGGCACATTCGAAGTAACTGGGAATTCTGCCAAGTGAGATAAAAGTAATAGGTCTTCTTTGAAAAGCTTTAACAAGCTTTTAGACATATACCTTCCTGGATTTCTACAAGCTCACTCGAATCGAAATGCAGATATAATCTATTAACGTAGTCTATAACAAGAACACAATTAACTTTTTTGTTTGACGTATGTAAAAAAAATTCAGTGCCGATCTTAGTTGACGCAGTGCTTGATCGATACACGCCTATAGCAGACGACTACATGCATTTGTTCTGACCACAGCAATCGTTGGCTAATGTTTTTTTTTGGAGAGGTTAACAAATCTGTTAATGAAACGTCAAAAAAAAATATTTTTTTTCATTATTTGCCCACACTAATCGAGCACAGCGTCAATTAAGATAAAACTATGGCAGACAAGAATAGCGATAAAAGAGATAATGAAATGATATTGTTGCTTCTAAAGACAAAACTAGAACATTTTCCTTTTTTAAAGAAGGCAGTGTAAAATACCTTTGTATTTCATTAGCTAATTACCGATACGGTATGAACGCGAATTGCTTTTGCGCGAGTTTACCCTAAAACTTTGTGAACCATAATAAAAAAGAAAAACGAATGCTTGTTCCAGACTGAAGCATGCATCTAATGACGACGGGGATATGGCCCTTTACATCGTTCATATGCCGTAAAAGGAAAAAACGAAGACGATATAGAAACAAGCAAACATCATTATCGTGCAAAAGTGAAAACAGAAACGAAAATGGTGTATACACGCTCCATGCAAAATGCGTACGCGTACATAGAAAAGTTACGTTGCTGGCATCTGCACAAACGGTACTTGCGAAGCAGCTGCTCTCAAGCACTTTGCCAGCAGCAGCAGCACTCATTCACTCACAAAAGTACACTCCAACGCCTCGCGCATTGTCAAATGAGATGCGATGCGTGTGTGTGAGTGTGCGCGCGCGTTTTTTATATTGGACTTTTCTTCTGCTGTGTGCTGTCTTACTTTGTAACTCTCTTTGTCTTTCTTTTTCTTTCGATACTGCACTTTTCGCCAAAGAAAGACAACACAACGTGAAAACAGAAAAAAGAAGGTATCCTCTCTGTGATAATCACTTCTGTAATAGTGCTCGTCGTTCGCGCGATATAGCTTAAGATCATTTTTTCCGGCATAAGTGTGTGATGTGAAGCTCGCAGATCTCTGTTAATGGATACCGGATCTCCGGCCAAATGGCTTCAGATAAAAGCAAGCGTCCGCGATTCCGACAATATTACCCCCTTGTGTCTTTCTGCGTGGTCCTGTGTGTCTACACTGGGCTGAGTGTGTCTGTGCAATGCTTGATAAGAAACTCGATCACCTCTCTCAACCCACAGTGACATTGCAGACTATACTTTTTACACTCGATCGAGTTCTTCGCTTAGCTCAGTATTTCGGGTTTTCTCTCAATTATGTTACTTACATCGCAACCGAGCATTCTAATGGCATCACACTCAGTTTATTCGCGTATTAAATTTTCATCCGTAAAACCAAAGAGCTCTATTATCAGTAAGTGCAGTTTGTTTCCAGAATTCGCAAAACCTGCCAGAGTCATATCAGTCATAATATCCATGTACACGTGCCTATTACCTTGACGTCATTCCATATACGTATACATACGAGATGAGAGCGAGCGGTGATTCAAGTTATAAGCTAACCTTATGACATGTGCAAGAGTTTGCGAGACGACGCACACAACAGTATGCGTTTAATTAAAACATATAGCCTGCAATTTTTTGCTTTGTTTCGTTGTAGTGTCGTGGGATTATTTATTTTTTTCACTACCCCTCCCTCCCTCTCTCTCTTTTTCTTTTTCACTCGCATCGCAGCGTAGCATTTTCAACAACTGTCGCCCGTACCTCGCAGCCGTTCGACGCGTTAGCCGCGAGTAATTAATGGCTGGCTATGAGGATCGGCGCTGCAGTATGTTCACGTGATTAACGGTACCCGCGCCCATCAAAGGGACGACTTTGTGTCGGGGGCTGCTCTCGCGCAAGCTCGCCATCTCGCATCTGGCAAAAACGCGCCCTAGATGAAAGTTACGGCCTCGAGTTGGCGAGTTATACACATGCACGCTACTGCTTGTACCCAGGTAATCACGACTCTATACTGAATGACGTGCTTTCGTTCTTCTAACTTGAAACATTGAATTTCCAAAGGGTTATTCTTTTATTGTTGCGTTGTCGGACTTGTTTGATTGACGTTTTATTGAGGATCTATTTATCTACAGCGGATATTCTTTAAATAATCCGATTTTCAATATCTTTTTTATTATAGGAATTTGTTGCAAATATCTTAACGTTACAATGTTGGATTAGTTGATGCAACTCTTTATTTTTTCATTGGTTAAAAAATTACGGTTTTCTATGTAGATCCAACTAAAAATATTTTTTTTATGCAACTATAAACTCAAAGTTTATTTTGAAGAAAAAAGTCTTAATAAAATTTTTCTGTACGAAGAAGCTTTAGCTACGTTTTAATCTGTTTTTTGTGTTAAATTATTGTATAAAAATTGAGTTTTTACAAATAAGAATGATATCTTTTGGTGCTAATGTCGTGTCTTAAATGAATCTTCCGTTACCTTTCGGCTTCTTTTACGAATCGTGTATATAAGTATATGAAATGCATATTTTTACTCGTGATTAAATTATTTGATATAAAATCAATCGAGAGTGAATTATTTTTAGACTAATTATTTTAAGGTAGAATCTTCCACGCGATAAAATTGCCAGAAAAAATCTATCAGAGACTGGCAATTGAGTTCAGGCTGACCGAGGAAACTTTCGTACACTATCGACTACCC